GGGGTAGCTGCTACTGCTGAGTGTGCCTTTTATTGAGGGGGGCCCTCAGAGGAAGGTTGCTGGACCCCCTTGTGTGTGTTTGTGTGTGCGTGTGTGTGCGTGTGTGTGCGCGTGTGCATGTACCTGTGGGGGGCCCACCCCATTCTGTTTAATTTCACGGGTACCAATGGGGGCTTTTCTCCTTTGGCAAGGTAAATTCTGTAAGGGTTTTTTAAAATTTTATGTCATGCCCTTCTCACCCCTCCCCCTAAGCTCACCCCCTGGCTAGGCAGTCACCGGCGCTCCCTCCCTTCTCCGCTTCTTCATCCTGCTGCTGCTGCTAGTGGGGGTAGTGAAGGAGGAGCTGGAGGGGATCGTGGCCGGTGACGAGGGCTTGTGGCCCCCCTCCTCCTCAGAGTCCCAGCTGGGCTAAGGAAATTCCTGGGTGGCTTCCTTGGGCTTTTGTTCCACTTGGCAGAAATCTGATGCAGCCCAGCTTCTGCCTCCAGTGGCCCCCAGGTAAATTGAATTTGAGACCCCTGGTCTAAAGTCTCCAAAGATGATCCATTCTGGGCATGGGCTGTGGATCAGGCTGGTTAACCTACGTTTAATATTCGCCATGCAGAACCTCACTTCCTCAAGAATATTTCTAAAAGTATCATGTTTAGGAATGATGGCGATGGAAGAAGCCTAGGAACTAGAAGAAGACTTGATCACATCCAAAGCCAACATTTCTTTGATTTGTCTTTCAATAGCCTCTTTGTGCTTGCCAGCAGCATGGTAGAGGGGTGACTGAATGGATGGATAGTCTTCTGTGAGAATACTGTGCTGAGCCAGGAGGTTCAACTGAGCTTATCTGACAACAAAGACTGATACTTTTGCCTTAACTGATTCTCTTGTTCATCCTGAGTCATATCAGGAGACATTTGCAATTCCTCTACCTCCACCAATGGAGCTTCCAGGAACTCAACCAGCACATCCACATCTCTTCCCTTGGTTCCTTTCTGGAAACATACCGGTATATAAAAACCCTACCCCATTTGGGTGCTTTCTGAGCCCGTTCACTTGGGATTCCATCCATTTCACTCCAGCTCTCAGGCAAAGTGGGAATTTTTTCTCTGATTCTCCATAAAAACATCAGAGATCAGAGTATGTTCTGGAAAAGTCTCTACCTTCTCTAGTGACTGTGCAGGTAGTTCTGCAGTAAAATCAGTTTTTTTCTGAGCTCTGCTAAGCTTTTGCCCCTCACCTTCCTCTTGCTCTGGGGAAGAGGGGTCCTCTGGGCTGCCTGGTTACATGTGGTCATGTGTGAATTCAAGGTCCCACAATTCAGGAGAGCCATGCCCAGGAGAAATTCAGGATTGGGGCCCAGAATGAACCAGTGTCTACTTCAAACTCCAATGTCCAACAATGCCATCTGCACATATTGAGTAACAGATTCCTCCACCCTATACGTTTGCACAGGAAACTTTAAGTCCTCTGCAATTTTCTCATCCTGAAGGAAGAATCAGTCAATACTATTAATATCCACTCCATAATAATTCAGGGCTTTAACTTCCAAACCCCCCCCCCCCCATTGGTAAACTCTTAGTAATTTGCCGTTCTCTTCCTTTGCCTATTTAGCTTCTTCTGGAAAGATAAGCAAGGTTGGAGCCACAATTTTAAAGTTATCCCTGATTTCTAGCACTCGCACATCATCTTCCCATCTCCATTGGTTTAGCTTCTTCCCTTGGTTTAGGGAGGAGTTGCAAAAATTCCATAGCTCTATCAGAAACAGCAGGAGCTACATGTGGAGTTGCATTCCCTTGGCTTATGCTGCTTTGGAAAGCCATCTCACTGTTAACTTCTTGTCTGCTGGCATCCTCTGATGCTGAGTCCCTGGAGGGAAATTCCTCAGCTTCTGTGTTTCCAAATTCACCTTTAGGGTCCTGTACATTCTCTACACTGCTTTGATCCTCACCTGGAAAGCCTTTTCCTGCTTAGACTGAGCTATCTTCAGGCAAGCTTTTTTGCATGTTTTAATAGCACCATACCCAAAGCACTTCCCTGCAGTGTTAGCTGTGGGCTTGGCTGCCTGGTCCTGACAAAGAAATGGAAGAAGTGTCTAGAACCTTAGCCCCATCATCTTCTAGTTTCTTATGTGCAGGATTCTAAATTCTTACGTGGAGTAGTTTTTGGTTGCCTCCTTCTGATTTTGGTCTCCTCCTCCTTCCAGCACTCGCTCCATGCTTAAGATTTGTTTCATCTTGTTTTCTTTCACAAGGTATGGTTGCCTTTACAGTACTGTAAAATTGGCACTAAGGGCCCCTTTTCACTCTTATGGTAATATTTCTTTAAGCCTGGTTTGATTCTACCCTGTTTCTGTCCCTTTCCTTCCATAATACCAACAATCCGGCTTTGTTGTACTGCCCATCCTTCTCTTGTTTCTCAAGATATTTGTCTATGACATTATATAGCTCCATTGTGCAAAAGCACTGGTTGTGATTTACAATCAAATCATACAGAAGGGAGAAAATTAACATAAGTGGAAGAGAAAAATAAACAAACTCGAGTACCAACTCTTTCATACTGTTGCATTAGAAAGTTATATAATGATTGGGTGGAATGATCCATACTGCTGGCAGTTCTGAGGGTGCAGGCACTAAATGGGAGTCATATTTAGGAGCAATGTACATGTTTACATGTGCTGCCTCTTCTCATTTCAAATGCCTGCAAGTACCCTCCCACTTTAATATCATGAAAGGAACATAAGCGCACTAGAAATCCTACATTGCATTCCTGCTATTGAGAAATCCGACATCAGCAACTGTAAAATACTATATTACTTGCAGTATTTACACTAACAAAGCAAATGGTTGCTCTCCCACCCCTTCTTCAGCAAACTACACATAAATAATATTTGTTAATCTTCCTGAATGTGGCTGCAGAGGAAAAACAGGTAGCCAGAAAGGCATATTGGGCAATGTCAATACAGCACTGATATTTTATCTCATAGATCAATGGTTAATTTGTCTTGTAGACAAACAAGAAGAACTCCAGCAACCTATTTTTCCTGCTGCAGTTCAAAACTGAGTCACATATTAGGACTACCTGCAGTGATTCTGAACTGATCCTTATTTAACCTGTCTTAATAGCACTTATGCAACACAGGTACATCGGATAATGTTAAGTACACATACTGGCCATCTTCCAACGTCATAAGAACCCATGTTGTCATTTGCTGAAATCTGGCTTGTTGTGATATGCAACCCTGCCTCTGCCAGTGAACCATGATTTGTTAACTAGCCACAAACCACAGTCTGAACCCATATAATGATTGCTGATTTTCAAACTTGGTTTCAACCATAGCTTCCCATGATATCCATGGCTTACTCCTGGCTTGTTTGCCCAGCCTAAAACAGTAGCAAACAAGGGGGTGGGAGGAAAACACAAGGAATGGCAATTATAAGCTACAGTTTGACTGTCTGCCATGCAATTTAAACATTAAAAAACAAACCATGGTATACAACATATGAATCCATTATATACCATATATACATTAATTGATACATGGACAACAAGAGAGAGGAGCTCAACAGTGGTACAATCCCAGCTATACAAGCCTCTACTCATGGATTTGAGACTAGCATCAATATTTCAACTGTTTTGATATCAGCTCAAAATCTTTTTGTTGACCCAATCAATTTAACTGATGTTGTCTATTTTATTGTATTTGCTGCCTTATCTGTTTTAATTAGTCAAAACATGATTGTTGTCTCATGGTAAATATCTCCTGAGATATGCCAACATACTACACACTTAAAACTAAGTGATCCTCTTCCCCTTCCCTGCCCAAAAAATCAACTAGTTTTCTTCTCTCTTTATGGAAAAGCAGATAGATAAGCATTTAAATGCAGTCACCAATGTTGGACTGCCGTGTCCTTTTAGTAAGATGTGTGTTGCTTGACATTGGAAAGGGTTTGTATCCTTTTCTAGTACATCAAGAATGAATTGCCACAAGGAAAGACTGAGCATAGGATGACTTGGGGGAAAAAAACTCTTTGGAAAAGTTGCTAATCGATTACTTATGGCCAACATCACCAAATTTTAGGTTGGGAATATTTTCCCCTCTCAAATTAAACTAGTTAGTGGTCTTAGAAATGTTGGATTGTGGTTGTTGCCTGTTCCCCACCCCACATGCATTTGGCTACCTGGGGCTACCTGAGCTAGCGCCCTACTATTGTTAAACATTCTATCCCACATTCTTACACTTCTGTCTATTTGCATGTTTTGACCAGGAATGTGTAAGTGGAGCTCTGAAGGTTCAGATGTACCCCAGTCACGACAGTGACAAAACAACATGGAGTGGCTGAAATCCTGTAGTAAGTCACAACTATAGTAGTTGTGACTTACTGTATCATTATACAGTGGCTTACCAAATCCCCACTGTATCATTGGGGATTTGGTGAGCCAATTCTTCTGCAAGTTCCAAGCATTTAATGGGCCTACTCTAGTTGTGATTTACTACTGGATTTCAGCCAGTGAGAATGAAGTTTTCCTGTACAAACCCCACTGAAAACAACAATAATGCTCATGTGTAGTCGCCACTCATTTCAGTTGTGCCGGCACAGCATAACATAGCACTGGATCTATTATTTTTAAGGTTTAAAGGGAATTTTTTTTTACATCAAGGCCATCCATTGCTCACCTCTTCCTCATATACTACCATGGCTGCTTTGTAAGCTGCTCTGTCTCTACTGCTAAAAAAACATTTGATTTGCATAACGTCTCAAAAAGTAAAGCAACATTCTCTAAGTTACAGACTGCTTTCAAAGTCGGCCTGTCAGCTGAGTTGCTATGTTGTGTATCCAAATAGTTAATTAAACAAATCCGCTTACCATCTGTCACTTAGAATGAAATGACCACATAAGATCTTTAGTGAGGAACAAATCCTAAAGAATTAAAGCCTGGGCTCAGTGTGTTGGAAATAGAACAAGCATCCCCCGCCCACTTGGATCCCTACGCAGTGAACTCTCACTTACCCTCTGGGTGATTGTTTTGCCCTCCTTGACTTCCACTGCCAAGCCAAGATCAGACAAGCGGCAGTGACCATTATCATCTAGCAGGACATTTTCTGGCTTCATGTCCCTGTAGACAATTTTGATGGAATGAAGGTGGAGCATCCCACAGGTGATCTGAGCAGAGTAGAAGATTATCCTATCCATTTCCAGGCCTCTTTCACCCACATTGTAAATGTGATATTTAAGATCCCCACCATTCATGAGGCTCATGACAAGACACAGGGCAGTTTTGCTCTGATAAGCATAGGTCAGAGTGACGATGAAACGACTGTTGACTTTCTCAAGGATCTCCTTCTCTAGCAGAGCCATCTTTTCGCCTCCTTTTTTCTTCAGTCTTTTTTTGTCCAACTTCTTACAGGCATACATCTTCCCAGTATTTCTCACCTGGATGGCACAAACCTAAACCAGCAAGTTCCATAAGAAAGGGAAAACTCTAATTAAATGACGCAGATTTAGAAGTGAAGAGAACATATGTTCATTTTTTTTTACTAGTCTTTATTCTACTGTGTCTTTTCTGGACTTCCAAGTTAAAACTTGAGTTAGGTAAAAAGGCTTCCTGGCTGCAATGATATATCTCGGTTCCTTACCATACTAATACACTGTCGCTACATACCGAATGAAACAGAAGTCACACTATAGATCTTTTCCACTGTGAGAACAACTTCATCTCACTTAGAAAAAAAGAAGGGGAAAGACAAGATTACATAAAATATTCTGATAATTTGAAAGAAAGAATAAAAATGTTTAAATGCCTATTGTTGCTCCTGCCTACATGTTACTGTAGGTGAGATGATCAATGAAAGGGGCTAAAAACAGGAATTTATCACAAGATACCTTGTATGTGTAATTGCCCCATGCCCACTGTCTTCCAAAGACTGTTCATTGCACTGCCTAGCCCCAAATGTTTGCATAGGAATTAAAAGCAAAGTGTGCTGCTTATTTAAAGTAGGGGGTCTACCTAATTTAGCATTATACTGTATAAGATTGACTAATTCTTTCTTACCTCTCCGAAGCCTCCTTTTCCTAACACTCGGAACTCGTCGAATTGCTTTTCAGTTACAGGTTGCTTCTCAAAGCATTTCCACTGCAGGTACTTGTCAAAGAATGGACTAGTCTGGAATTCCTGAAAAGGTTTTCCTGTAAGGTACGTGTTTGTCTCTTCCCTGGCTGCCTGTGTTATTTTCTCAAAATCATCCTTGGCAGCAGACTGGCACTTGTTCGACAGGTCTGCACTGAGGAACTTCAGGTAGCTATTACTGGCGGTCTTCAGATACATGTTGACTATACCTTCCAGGAGGCTAGCCTTTATGTTCTCTTCTGCTAACTCCCAAGAAGACACTTCATCCAAGAACTCCCTGGCTAGTAGGTATTCAGGTACAGTCTCCAGGAATTCCTTGAAAAAAGTCTTGCCAATGGGCTGTTGTACACAAATAGTCTCGTAGTCTATAGTAAGAGATTGCTTGATGGCGGCACACTCCTCAATCTTGGGTAGCGCAAGGGCCTTGCGCCTTTTTTGCATCTCCTTGGCATCAACATCTCCACTTTTCCTGGCCTGTAGGTATGCCGTGTTGGCAATCAGGTTATCCAGTCCCCCCATGTCACACATCTTCGCAAATTGTTGGGGTGGCAGAGCCTAGCTTGAGGAAAAACACTGGCTAGCCTTGGGGCGGCTGCCCGGATACTGCTTTCCCTGTGCCACTGCCTGGCTGTAAGTGTGGCCTTCGGAGAAATAGTAAGAAGTCTCCCTACTTTAGCATTAAATACCTCTCAAGGATTTTCACTAAGTACCTTTAGATGTATGTACCATTTGTGGAATGTGGCTGGTAAGAAGGTTCTCTCTAAGGAGCTTTGGGTTAGCTATCTATAGCTAAATGGATGACATCTCAGGAAAACATCCTCACTGTCAGTTCCACCACTACCTGGACAGCATCTTTCAAATGCAGTCTCGCTACCAGTAATTGAAGCATGCCATATTTTTCTATACACATAGTCATGTTACTCTGATCACTGTAGCTATACTCTTTCTATAGGAATCACATGACCTCATTCTGCTCAACGAACTTTAATAATTTCCTGTTCATTGCTCTAAGTAAATCTTAATTCACTGATATGCCTCGCACGCCCACTGTGACAACTTACTTTGACATAGGGTTTGTAATGGGTTTTCACCATTTCCTGTGCTTTACAGTGCTGCAAAATAAAATATTTAACAGCAAAAAACAAACAAAAAAAAAACCCTCTTCAGAGTCAAACAATACCAAGTATCAGGTTGAGAAAATGTTGTCAAAGGAAATGAATGGTAGATTTTAAAAAAATACAACCAACCTCTACTCAGCCCTACTGTTGAAAACTTTCTTCATCAGGGAAATCATACTCAGAGGAATGCCAGTACTGTATTGTGGTTTGTACCTTTATACTGCACAAAACGCATGCTTGCTGTCATGCAGAGCTCTTTCTGTAGGGACTCCAATCTGCTTAGACAAAGAGCAAGGGAAGAATGACTGCTGCACTATAAATAATAACAATCCTACATACAAGTACAAAAGCCTCATGTTGTCTCCTAATATGGCTAAGGTAAAAATAAGCTAAATCTCTTTATAACTCGAACTATTCTTTAAGTTCTCCTCATTATCAAAACATAACTTTGATGTTGTAACTCTGGTCCCTGAAATTGAAAAGGAAACTGGGAACCAAGTTTCTGTTTCAGCTTTTCATGGTTCTCACAGAGCTAATGGGATTATAAAGGGAGCTGGTAGTAACCCCTATATTTAGATGTCCTAACACTTCATTATAAAGGATTGTTGTGATTTATTTTAATGGCTCTCACACCTCCAGTGTTGGGAAGGCAGGGGTGACCCTCTGCTTATTGTGGGAGACAAAGATACAGAGTAAGGTAATTGTTTTCTACACTCTCATTTTGGCAAGAAAATATTTGCAAAGGTCAATTTTTCTCATTTGCATCTATTGGGCAAACTGGGGTGACCTGTCTAAGCAACTGAAAATGCAGTTCCAAAACAACCACACAGTCAGCAAGTGTTGTAATGTCAATAAGGTTGACATTCCTGGAAGTCAAGATCTGCTCAGGCATACTTTGGTTTTGATGTCTCCTATTTATCATGTTGTGCTTTCATCCTTCCCCAGAAAGATTAGGACCACACCCACCAGAAAGACCACTGTTAACAACCATTAATGAGCCATGACAATAGATGGAGAAGGACTGCAGAAGTGGAATTTCCACTCACCTCCCCCCCCAAGTCCTTTGTCTTTCTAACCAGCCTATAAAGACCAGGAGAAAGTGAAACCAAAGTAGAGGATATATCTACCAACTCTCCTCAGACTGAAGAAGCCACTTGGATAAGTAGTAAAATGTTTCAACCTAATAAACCCAGATGCCAGCACTCAGTTTCCAGATAACCTCACCTGGATGACTGAGAATCTCAACAGATATACCCTTGATGTTGTTAACATTGTTAGGTCCTGTAAATTGTACTGCCTGAATAAATGTGGGGGCAGAGCTGGCATCTAGGTTTCTAGGGTTTAGTCCCCTTCTCTGTGTCAGTGTTGTATTCAGTAGTTGCTTGAGATTAGGGGGTCATCTGTCACACGTATAGGTCTGCTACCTATGGTTTGGGAGAGTGAAGTATTCTTGTCAAGAATGGATTTGAAATCACGGTATGTGTGAGAGTGGTCTTAGTTGTGGGATGAAAGTGAATACTGGTGGAGTTTGGTTGTTTTCTCTTCTGCATTTGTCTTGCAGTAGGTTGCTTCTGGGTATTAGTATTGCCCTTTTGAATTCTGATTTAATAATACTGGATAGATATTGTAGTCTGAGCAATGCATGTTGTAGATCTTTGAGTTTGGCTGAAATCATGGTATGTTTGAGAGTGGTCTTAGTTGTGGGATGAAAGTGAATACTGGTGGAGTTTGGTTGTTTTCTCTTCTGCATTTGTCTTGCAGTAGGTTGCTTCTGGGTATTAGTATTGCCCTTTTGAATTCTGATTTAATAATACTGGATAGATATTGTAGTCTGAGCAATGCATGTTGTAGATCTTTGAGTTTGGCGTCTCTGTCTTGTGAACATTGTCATTGTTCACAGAACAGTGACTCCTGGGAGGGGAACTGAATGTCAATGAGGTAATTGCGAAGTCAACAACTTGGTTTTGGGCCATGTATAAATATATAAATATTTGTCATGTAGTCCCACTCTTATGTCTGAGGAAATGGACCTGTCCAGGAAAGCTCATATTAAAATATAGCAGTTGGTCTTTAAACATTGAGTTGAATTTTATTGAAATTTTAGCCAAAGGCCATTGAAACATTGAGTCAACACACAAAACCAATGACAAGTCAACAAAACCACATCTTCATAACCATATATAACAAGTTCCAAAACAGCTAGAATTTAAAATATACAGTATATATATATAAAAGATAAAATAGAGAAGAACTCTATTTTTATACTGTCATCCCAGCCTAAATGGCCTTAGTCACCATATGCTACTCAATAGGGTCTTCATCCATTTGATTAATCCAAACTTGCCTTAGCTTAGCCTGTTCAAATATGGAATTTTTTAATATCTGCCCTCCAAGATGGCAGAAGGCAACATGTCCATACAGATTAGCATAAACACCCTTCTACTTTCAGAATTTTCAAGTTCGCTTACGTAAGGCATCAATGTGTTTCTATTGATACCGATAATATCCGACCAGATAGTCTTAACCGACCAGATAGGCGGGATATAAAATAAATAAATAAAATAAATAAAATAAATATCCCTTATATGTGTTTTAACTCTATTCAGATCATGCTGCCTTTCTATGTCTAAGATCCTTTTTCTGATCAGACTTTTGGATTGGTTATAACTCATAGACATTAGATACTGATGTGAGAATCCATAGTACCCCACTTTGTTCTCCAACAGTTCCCTCCATGGGGAGACAGAGTTGTCCTTTAATATCAAATGGGCAAGCCCAGAGTTATTGTGGTTCAATTTTAACCAATATGACAGGACAATTATCCAACGTCTAGCCTCTATAGTTACTAGTCCTGTTTCCAGATGAACCTCTGCATTTGATACATTGGTTGACAGCAATAGTACAGATTTTAAAAATTTAGTTTGAAGTTTTTCCATTGTGGATCTGTTTGGTACAATACTAAAAGGAGCACCGTAGGTCAATTGTGCCAAGGATTTTGCCATAAATAATTTGATGGCTGCTGTCACATTTCGCCCCCCTTTGGTCCAAAAGAATTTTTGTATTGCACTAGCACTTTTTTGTACATTAGATACAACGTACTTTATATGCGAGTTTTTTTCCCATTTGCCTGAACAGTAACACCCAGATATTTGTATTGTTGTACCTGTTCAATGCGGACTTGATTTAAATACCAGGTATGCCTCTTTGGTCTATTAGCAAAGGATATGACCTTTGTTTTATCATAATTTATATCCAATTGGTTTTGTTGGCAATATTTAGAAAGTGTCCGCATCATTCTCTTAAGTCCTGTCAGTGTCCTTGAGAGAAGCACGGCATCGTCCGCATACAACAGTATAGCAATGTGATGGCTTGCCAATTTAGGGGGTTGATGTTCTGGAAGATTTAACTGAGTTGCTAGGTGATTTATATAAAGCTTGAATAACAGGGGAGTCAGTATACATCCCTGTTTTACACCTTTCTCAGTCTTAATAGGAGATGTAAGATGGCCTTGTGAGTTGGTTTTAACTCATATTGTAATATTTTTATGTAGAGCTCTCATCAAAAATGAGAGGCGTTTGTCAATAGTAGAACCTCTTAATTTTGCTCACAGAATATTCTTTGAGATTGAATCAAAGGCGGCTCTAAAGTCAATAAAACCTAGTTTTAGATCATTAGAGGAACCAATGGAATAGGCAGTGACTATCAATACACTCATTGTTAATTGCTGGATCTCCACAGCAAATTTAATGCTACAATCAAACCTGACTATTCTTTGAAAACGAACCTCTTTTTGTAAAAAAAAAAGAGAGCAACTCCAAAAGGTTAACCATTTACAATTATCTGCAGCCAACCAGCAGTTAATCTTGTTTAATTTTCATCTCAATTATGGTCTGAATCTTTTTATTTCATGACTCAGTTTAAGATAGCATACAATGAATTATCAAGCAGTCTTCCATCCAGACAGTGACCACACCCAGATCTGTTCAGAGTAGAATAGCTGCTGCAGCAAACCATGCCCTGGGACTTCTGCAGGTAAATATACTTAACAAATTTAAAAGGTTTCTATCCTTTGAAGCACAATTTAAAGCGATGCGATCCAAGAGCCAAACAGCCATGCTACTCCCCCTTCTCCAGAGGGATTATAAGGGTTCATGGCCATGGGAGAGCTAACTGGATGGTCAGATACCAGATGCCAAAAAAGGTAAGTGTTCTTAGTTTTAACTGCTGAGCTTAATTGGCTCCACTTTCTACCTTCAGCATCTCTTTTTTTGCATCGAAGAAGGCATTTATAAAGAGCTAGTTGAAACTGACAGAACTACGGGAGACAGTGGAAGATAGGAGGGCCTGGCATGCTCTGGTCCATGGGGTCATGAAGAGTTGGACACAACTAAATGACTAGATGACGACGAT